GTGTGTCTTTCCCTCGTGGCCCTGTCTGTGCGGCCACGGTCTGCTCATGTGCGGTGCCCAGACTGACCCAGTCTCCTGCTAGAGGTCATGGGTCGTGGGGGTCTCCAGCTCTGCTGTGAAAACGCTCCAGTGAGTGTCTGCTGCCAAACAGACACACACATCGGGCCCTTAGAGGGATCTTCTGTCGATAAATATAAATGACCCTGACTGTGCAGGTAGTGCGCTCAGGGGAACACAGGGGACCCTACAGTCCCCTTCCCCACTGCCCACACCCCTTTTCCGACCTCCTCTCAGGACCCACCAGGAGGCAAGGTGCAGGCGGCTGGCATGGAACGCTGGCAGAGCCCCTGTCCAGGGCCCTCTCACGGCCCCCTTCAAGGTGAGCCAAACAGCGATGGTGCACCTGCCTCGTGCCAGGCTCTGCGCTAGAACCCGAGGCCAGCGTGGAAGCTCTTAGGGTGTGAGTGCAGGTCACCCTGAGCCGCTGGCCTCCCCGTCACCGTGGCTGACAGCACCCTGTCCCAGGAGAAGCTGGGCCGGCGGAGACGCCCAGGGCACATAGCAGAGGGGGAAGCGGGAGGAACCAGGAGTGGACCCGTGTGCTCTGCCTCTGGGGAGCCAAACCCTCACCACTGACTCTCTGACCTGGACACGTCTTCTTCCCTAAATGAGGTGTGAGGGAGCCCAGGCAGAGGGAAGGGGTGAGGAGGGCCTTGTGGCGTGGGTGAGGGTGGGCCCAGCTGGGGACACTGAGGGCCCAGGGGACCTCAGCCTCCCTTGACCCTCCCTATGTGCGTGGTAGGCCCCGGTCGCTAACTACCTTTCCTATCATCCTGCTTAGGGAGGCCCCACACATGCAAGCGGACGCTGGTGACCCAGGATGAGCGGTTACAAGGGTCCCTCCCACACGCTGGCCTGGTGCAAACAGCTCGCTTGCACTTTCCATCCTCACAGCACGAGGCACAACCTGGGCCCCACTTTTCGTGCTAGAGGCACAGCCAGGAGGCTCTGGGGCCAGGATGCCAGCCAGGTCTGCCTGACCGGCCCTGGGTGGTGAAGGTGGTGGCTAAGGGGTCTCAGGAATGTGCACCCTAAGCTGTTCCTGAGCTCTTAAAGCCCTCAGCATTGAGGGGCTTAATCATCACCAGGAGAGGAAAGCCAACTGGACTGTCCATCTTCCTGTTCCCAGGATGTTCTCTAAGTGTTTTCTCTCTATATTTCTGAAGGGCCACCATGTTAGAATCTGACACTCAGGGACCTAGTGTCTGGGGCTGCCAGGGTCCCATCAACTTTGCTTACCTCTCCCACCCAGCTGGGCCTGGAAAGGTGGACCGAGGCTGCTCAGCTGGGTCTGGGTCCTAACACACTTTTGTTTACTTCCCACAGCACACCTCATCACCAGAAGGCTCAGCTGGGTGGGCGGCCGGCGGGGGAGACAAGGAGTGGAGGTAGGGATGGGGGAGGGAGAGGAGAGGGAGATGGAAGAGGAAAGAAGGGGTAAAGAAGGGCGAGGAGAGGAGGGGTTCCAAAGATGCAGGAACCTCAAGCCACCGGTGCTCACGGAGCCTCCAGGGAAAACAGCCCTGCAGGCCCCGGGGACGGGGATGGATTCCCACTGGATTCACAGAGAGCAGAGACCTCGGGGAGAATTGCTGGCCGTGTGGGATCAACCCTGCTTTTCTTGTCTTTACTCCCTGACCACAGAGGCCCTGAACACAGCCGCCCGGGCCTCCCAGCCCTGTGACCTGCCTGAAAGGCTCCTGGTACGGGTCACCTTCAAAGCCAGCCTTGCCCTTGCCACCCGTCCCGCCTGCAACCCTCAGCTTCCTCCTGGCTCCTGGCTCTCTCCGGGCAAAGGCTCCCTCCTAGCAGGGGGACATCTGCCCCTCTCGGGCGTTACGTCCCGAAGGAGAGGAGGGGACAGGCAAGGTCCCACCCTGCTGGCACGTCCCCTGCTTCAGACCCCAGACTCGATTTCTGTTTTATCTGTGTCCACCTATCTATTACTAATACGTCTTTGAATCAACTCACCTGTTTTGTTTTGCTCCTACTAAGCAATGATACCTGTGAAATCAGTGGCTGGGCCCATCATTCTTTCTCAGGTTCACATCAGTCACAAAGTGGCCTTCTGTGGCCACGTGCCCCTCACCTGCTACAGGACACGGGCTGCGATGGAACCCCGGGCCGGGTCCTGGGTCCTTATCTTCACACCCGTCCTTAATAAAGGACGCTGTCCTCCAAACACACAGGGCTTGGTACGTGGCTCGTGGGTGCAGTGGAAACCCGGCCAGCCGCTTCTGTGGTCCTCTGAAGGGACCACCGTCTCCCATGCACGGGCCCCTAGCACCTCTCAAAAGCCTGTCACAGGCATTATCTTCTGGGGTCCTCACATCCAGCAGTGAGATGGGCAGGACAGCTGTCTTCTCAATCTGTCAAAAGGAGAAACTGAGGCAGGGAGTCCAACCTGCCCAGGGTTTTTCGTCTTCTCAGCTCCCCTCTCTACATCCCCAGGCTCAGGAGTCTAAGGCTTGGTGATGACCGAGCAGGTGGGCACTGTGGACAGCTGTTGAGGGTGGAGGTGCTGTTCAGGGAGGGGGTGTCCCCTCGCATGGAAAACAGACCACAGCAATGGACTCCCGGGCCAAGTTGAGGCTCCGTACAACTGCTCCCCCTCTCAGACCTTTCAAAAGTGCCCTCCACTTTGGGCAGGACACCAAGGAATGAGTGGCAGGGCCAGCCTTCCTGGACCTGTGCGCCACGTATATTTTTAGCCTCTGCCCTGCCCGGGCATTTGCAGTGACCAATGTCCTCAGGGAACCACCCAGCTGTACACCCAGGGGCCCGGTGGGCTCTCAGAGGTCTCCAGGAACTGACCCCTGCCCTGACCCTGGAGCTCAGGATCCAGCTCCCCCTTCCAAGGCAGAATCGGCTCCAGGTGGGGAGGAAACGCACCCCCACCTCCAGCGCACACACAAGATTGCGGGGAGAGTTCCGAGGCACAGAACCTGTGACCTCAGGCAAGTCGTGTTCTGGACCTGGGGGAAGTGGGGGGGCAGGAAGACCTCTGCTGCGCAGGGGGACCACCAGGCCAGATGGTCGCTGAGGTGGTCAGGAGACCTGGGGTTGCACCAACACCACACAGGTGCACCCTGGGGAAGACTGTGTTGTGCTGAGGGAGAGTCCTGTCTCCTGTCCAAGGGCAGGATGCCCCGATGCCTGGAGACCTCTCTTACTGGAGATGGGCTAACCCGGGGGCCGCGCTGTCCACCCTCTCCTCACCAGCGCAACTCTCCAGGAGCAGAGATGCACTGGTAAATCCTGGCAGATCTATTTAGAAAACGTTTCCATCTTCTCTTCTGCTCCTTCCGTGCTCCCTTTTCTCCAACCCAGCACTGTTCTCTTACTGTTGCCGGGTGCTGGCGGAATGGGGGGACTCACAAAGGGCAGGCGGGGCAACTGTCCTGTGCTGGGTCTCAGTTTCCTCTGTAAAATGGGGAGTCAGAGCCTATGTGCAGGTTGCCGTAAGGCGTTCTCTGCGGCAGCTTTCATTTTTCTCTTGGCACTTATTGTAAGAAATACACTTTACATCTTGATCAAGTACCCACTTAAATACGTGTAAGTAAAATAAATGCTGCACAGAGCAAGCGCACTCTCACTGTGAGATGCTCTCTATCTCATTCTATTTCATTTTTATAAAATGCTGGTCACCACTCACCAAGTTTTTTTCAGGACATAATACTAGTCGCTGATCTGAGGTCAAGAGGGAGAGGCAGGCAGAAAGCAAGCGCAGACATAATCACCAATCGAAAAAAGGGCTGTGCAGGCAAGAAGGGGGTCTGGCGAACAGGAGGGGGAGGCCCGTTTCTCCACTTCACAGCGAGGCCTCAGAGCCGGAGCCGGGCAAAGCGGCAAGCAGGCCAGGTCAGGCGGGTCTCGGAGGCCGTGGTGGCCGGCTGGGATTTATTTTAAGGGACGCGGAACGCCACCGCAGGTTTGGGGGGAGGGGCGGGATTAAAAGAGAAGATGCGCTCAGCACCTTATATTTAGCGGCTGACGCGCCGGAAGCGCTTGTTACCCGCAGTTACTACTGCGCCCCACGCGCGGAGCGCGGCCCCCACCTTCACCTCCTGGGCAGTGACCCTGGTCCCCCGCCTTCGCCGCCGGGGAAGAGACCACCCCCCACCCTCCGTCTTCACTCCGCGGGCAACGACCCCGGCCCGGCCCCCTGTCTTCTATCCCGGGGAAGAGACCTCCCGGCCCCACACTTTCACCCCACGGGCAGTAACCCCGGCCCCCGTCACTCTCCGGGGAAGGGACCCCCAGCCTTTGCCCCTGGGGAAGGTGACAGTTGGGCGCATCCCAGCCTTCCGGCCCAGGGCGGGGTAAAGCGTCTGCTACGCTGCTGTAGAGGGGAAACTGAAACCCGGAAACACGATCCACAGGTTCCCCGCACCCGGGTCCTGAGAAGGCCGGTACGCGCGGCGGGCGGAGCTTTGGCGCCCCGCCCCCTCCCTCACACGTGCGCCCCGCCCCTCCCGCGGACGCGCGCTCCGCCCCGGTCGATTCCCACCCCTCCTCCAGGCCCGCCCGCCGGGTCTCGTGCTCCCACCCCGCGCGGGGCCCGCCGGGAGCCAGCTGAGAAGTGGGGCGGAGAGCAGGGGAAAGCCCGCCGGGTCAGGCGGCGCTTGCTACGCAGGCGCGGAGCGCGGGGCCGCCCCCAGGCCGACAGCGCGGCCATATTTAAAGGGAGGCCGACGAGGCGAGCCAATGGGCGGTGAGCGTGCGGGGGCGGGGCGTGGCGGCGCAGGACCCGGATGTGGCTGCTGCGACCCCTCCTCCCCCGCGTTCCCCTCAGAGCCCCCCGGCCGCGCGCCGTTGCTCGCTCTCTGGTACCCGCGCAGGCCCTCGGGCGGCGGTGAGGCGGCGCAGAGGCGGAGGAACGGGCGGCGAGGCGACCGCGCGGAGGCGAGTGGGCCAGGCCCGGCCGGGCGGCCGCCGCCATGAGCGGCTCCTCGGGCACCCCGTACTTGGGCAGCAAGATCAGTCTTATCTCCAAGGCGCAGATCCGCTACGAGGGCATTCTCTACACCATCGACACGGACAACTCCACGGTGGCGCTCGCCAAAGGTAGCGCCCCCGCGGCCGCCCCAACTGCCCCGCCCCCGCCAACAGCCGGGCCCGCGCTTCCTCCGCCCTACC